GCGGCAAAGTTACGCTAAATGACTCTTCTAGAGATATGATAGACAGTCAGGTAATGAAAAACGTAGAAGTGCAATCGTAATTAAAATTTGATTGCCAACAGTCGCTACAGGCCCTGACAAAACATAAAAAGGTCCTTCTTGACTCAGGCAGTCCAGATAAAATCATTTGCTTAACCTTAGCAGGAACGAATTCTTTAGGGAACACTACGACCGTAGAAGATCTCTTAGCGACATCTCATGACTTGCTATGTAAAATTTGTGAAGAGGAAAACAAAACTCTTATTCATATATTATGTCATTGCTGAAGTCTTAAATGGGAACGGGAAAGGCACTTCGAGGTACAATATCCAGAAACTGAAGAAAATTCAAAAACGTCCACCAAACATATACTTTAATTCATCAAGAAGTAAAAATTATGAGGAAGTGGGTTTGTACTACACCCTAATTTAAAGAGATAAATAAAGCTGAGCTTTGAGATACATCTTCATTAATTTTGTAGTAAGCAGACGATTATTTACCAATCAAACGCAATATATTAAACAATATAATTGGAAGCATTGAGTCATAGTATTTTCACAAAATTAAATTCTAGGAATTCGATAATGAAAAGCATCAGAGAATCATTGTTATTTTATCAATTCTAGGAATTACTTCCGAAAATCAACTACATTTGAAAGGAAATACAGAGATGTTGTATACAACCCGCGGCGTGATTCAATCCGTTTCCTTATTTTTCTCCAATTACGACGAGATTTTTTGGATAGACGCCTTCTCATCGGCGACGTTGTTTATCTAACTAACTAATTAGCTCTTTTTGTTTACACTTTCAATGTTGACAATGCGACATAACGTTAATTAAATTTTAATTCATTGCATACTGTTTTCTTGTTCGATGTTGATCATTAGAGATACGTAAAATTAGTAGAAATAATAGAATTTGTTCTTGAAGGTATTACTCAGAAATAAAATAGTTCTATAATTAATTAAATGAATGAGAAGACTGGAAATGGTGTACGTACATGAATGGTATACATCCGTGCATAAAAAATTAAATATAATTAAAACTTAAGCTTTAGAATGCCATCATCGTAGGCATTTATTTATTGTTTGCTAGTGATTTCACCAAAATTAATCTTAATCGAGACAATTCACAGTGGTTCCGCCTGCGGTCATGGCAACAAAAATGTTAACATTTTATTTGGCGTTAAAATTTTTCAAATTTCTTAGAAAGGTACAAATCGTACTAATATTAAAGCCGCAACCTCTTTTCCCACACCATCATTTTGTGTTCCATGGTCAAAGTGTGAACTTCGTCGAACCTTTGTGTGTGTTAGAGAGTAATTAACCTTTTCTACCTGAACTTACTTAGTCTTCAGAGAAATTGGTGATATAATGGACGTGGAAGTCTAAGGTATGTATATTTTACATCTTTTTGTATAATTAGAAACAAATAGATTTTATAATTTTTTTTTTGTAAATGTTCCTCCCTATCGCCAGTTTTTCTTGTTTTTTTTAAAATAGACTTTCAACTAGTTTCCCCAGCGTTCCCCCACAAGTTATATACCTTCAGAGAAAGCTTGGAATTTCTTCTTTCTGATACAGTAAGAGCGAATGTCGCGAAATGTCACCGAACATGCAATAAACCCTTAAATTGCCCCCCACCTCAACGCAACGTAAAAGTGATATGCGATAGTAACATATTAATGTTTTTTGTTACATTTTAAGAACATTTGGTTCCAAAATAATTCGATGCAAAAGGTGAATTAGCAATTTAAAAAACAATTACGAAATTTTTGTTTGGGATATTTTTTTAAACATTATTCAGATTGGAACTTTTTAAACGGGTTTATTTAGCTTGACTGACAGCTTGGTATTTGTTTCAAATCTTGCGACAGCTCTTTCAACTACTTCTAAATGAGCTAGAGAGTTGAAATTTGGTAGGTGTTTAATGTTCTTGTGAAAATATAATTTATTACCAAAAAATTAAAATGGCGTGTTCAAAATGATGTACTTTCTTATATATAAAGCGATTTGTCTCATACTTGAATCTTTGCATTGTTTATGGTATAATTTTTGGTTCAAACTTAAAAAAATCAGAATGGCTGATCCAAAATTGCTGACTTTCTCATTTATGAATCGATATGAGTCAAATTTGTAACTTGGGGGGTGTTTAAGGTTGCAGATTATGATTTTCGAATCAAACTTAAAAAAGACAAAAAGGCAGACTTTTCCACTTATGCGAAAGATGGCGGAACCAAACTTGCGGAATATCCTATCCTATCTTCTCTATATATCTTTTCGTTTCAGAATTGTCAAGTGCACTTTTGTAAGGTTGAATATTCTGGATATTTGGCTTTCCAAAACAGGAAGCACCAACTCGGAGAAGGTCCAGCAGATCTTGGCCAAATTAACCCGTATTTTGCTTCAAACACAAAGCGATATTACAAAATTGGAAGGTCGAATCTCCTACCTCTGTAAGAAGTTTAGCGAGTACTGAAAAAAACATTCTAGTTCGAAAGCGAAACTAGTGGCCAAGCATCGGAAATGGTTAAATATTGTGGACATTTGTGAACTACCTCTTATGGAACAACAATCTCCGGAAGATGACGTAGTTGCAAAAGTACCCATAAGACCTAACAGCTTTCTGATGATTACGCGGCAACGACGAGTAGTGGTAAAAGATTTTTAAAAGACTTTCAAGATTGCAGTGACCGATCAAAACGCAGAAGATTGTCCGAGCTTTCCAAGGTTGACGAGTTAAGGCTCTACAAGATAATGTAAAAAAAAAACACTTTGACAATTAAAATAAATGACATACTTTCATTGATCGTGGAAGCCAAGTTGACAAAACATCAATTTTTGTTAGTCAAAGAATTTGTTAATTCAAAAGTTGAACCTAACGCATTTCCGTCCTATCAAAAAGTTCTTGCAGCAAGAAAAAGTGATATCCCTACGAGAAGAAGTTGAGTTGCAATCACTTTTTGATCATACACCATGCCGCATTCTCGAATCACCAAAAGATGTTTTATCAACTCTACCAGCTAATATCCTTGAAAATAAGTTAACTTTAATGGATAAACGGGGCTTTGATGGTAGTACGGGGCATGAAAAATATAAACAAAAGTTTACAGATGAAAACATACACGATGAAAGCATGTTTGTAACGTCCTATGTTCCTCTACAGTTATTCTGTCAATCAGAAGCTTCTGATTCCAACATATTTGTGTGGAAGAATCCGCGTCCTTGCTCCACTCGATTTTGTAGAGTTATTCGGTTTCAATTTCTCAAAGAAACCAAGGAAATCTCTATGCAAGAAGAAGTTTATTTTTAAATATGAAGATCGCGAAATTAGACTTTAATATTCTTTACAATTAACAATGGTGACGGTAAAGTATGTTGTGCTCTTGCTGAAACATCTTCAAGTAAGTGTTACATGTGTTATGCCCCGCCAAAAGAAATGAATAACATTGAATTGTGTTTAAGCAAACCTGTGAATATAGACAGTGTACGTTTTGATTTGTCTTCGCTCCATTCATGGATTAGGTTTTTCGAATACTTTATTCATATTTCATATAGACTAGATTTTAAAAAGTGACAATCTAGATCAGAGAAAGAAAAATTTCTTCTTGCAGAAAGGAAATCTCGAATTCAAAAAACCGCAAAGTGGAGGAAGTGGGACATCAAACGATGGTAATATAGCGCGAAATTTTTTAACAAATTTTGAAATTTTAGCTGAAATTACTGGTTCAAATAAAGATTCTATCAAACACTTATATTTTTCTACAGGCTTAAGGATGTGGATATAAAATTAATTGCGCAAAATTTGAAACTTACGCTTTGGAAACAGTTAAAGAACTTGTAAAAAATTATCCATGGTATTACCTACCTGCTTCAGTGCATAAAATTTTTCTCCATGGGTCAGAAGTTTATTGACCATGTTCTCTTATCCATAGGTGAACTTTCGGAAAAAGCTGCAGAATCTTCGAACAAAAATACAGGCGCAACAATACAAGAAAAATAGCTCGGATTCATACAAACACAGATCTTCTGCATAGACTTCTATTGCATTCTGACCCTTTTATTTCTAGCTTAAGAAAATTATCAAAAGTCAATCTCATTACCAGTTGATTTATTAGAATTAGGTGGATAATATATAACATTATGTAATTTAAGTTCAAAAATATTTCTTTTCCGTACAATAAAGGTAATTTATTTTAAAACTATTCAAACTTTCATTTCTTGCTATTTATAAATTTTATGACCTCAAAATGCTCCTTTATAAGTACTTCATTTTCCTCATGAATTTATTATATACAATCAAAAAAAATCCTTTCCCTGATATAAAATATAATTCCTTTTACAGAAAAATGTTTTACCTGCTTTTATTGTCCACTTTAAAATTTTAGCTGAACAATTTATTATTTTCAGAATTTTGAGCAACCAAAAAATATGTCGTTTCATGTTAATTGATATAATTAACGTATTATATATCCCTTTTACTGAGAAATAATTTACCTGTTTTTAAATTTTAAATAATTTGAAGAAATTGCCCAAGAATTGTTTCGACTTTTATCATATTTTTTTAATATTTCGACTTATCGACAGTGAATATATGTTTTACAATATATATTTGCCCTGATAAAGTAGATTTACGTACAAAAATCTCACATTTGAAATGTCAATCCGCGAAAACTCCATGACCGCTTCTTCCATAAGACGGAACCACTGTACAATTTAGATATAATAAGAAGAATAAGAATAGTTTACCTTAACGTTAATAATTATTATTATTGTTAATTTAAACTTCATCTAGGAGAAGATTCGTTACCAATTCTTTTAAAATAAAAAATATCAATTGTAAAATATTATGAGTTTATAGAGCGTCATTTTTCGTATTCGTAAAATAAAACAAATAAAAGTAACGACATTCCACGGACACTGTGCCTAACTAGAACAAATGGTTTCGCAGTATTGTACAAAAATATAGAACGTCGACTTACCGGCATAGTTTGACTGCCGTGCAAGCTATTAATGGCCGCCTGTGCTTCCTGATGCGAGCTGTATTTCACGAAAGCACAACCTGTAACAGAAAAAAATGACAACATAAATAAAGGATGCCAGGAGGAGATTTGCTAAATAAGAATTTCAAATTTATTGGACGGGGAGAGATTTTTTAGTCTTGTGCTATATTCCGGGCTCAGGGGCGCTACGCAATTTTTCGCAATAACGTCTTATTTTATGGCCGTTACATAAATAATGCGAGGTTTTTTGATGCATTTAGTATGTCTAACTTTATAGGTCAAATAGGCTCGAATCTTGCTTGTACTCTACAATAATGCTTTATATTGTGGAACGATATTAAAACATGCATGACAAAAATAGAGCAATCAAAGGTGAGATTATTAAAACGCAAAATTGGTACCACATATTTTATTAATTGATTTAAAATAAATTATTTTGACTTTACAAGCAATAAAAAACTTTATTCGTTTTAATTTACAATTATGTATTTAATAAACAAGATTATAATTAGTTATCTTATAAAATAATATTAAATTAGGTATTTAAACATGTACACTGAGAAAACGAAGTCTATTAAACATGTTTAATAAAAACTAATTTGATAACCATTAATAAATTACCTTATTTTCGGTTAATACCAATAATTTAACAAAGATAGAAATCTACTAGCCTGAAGCTTCTGTAATTAGTCAGTTCTTTAAGCCAATAATGTATTTGAGGAAACTAGTATTCGTGCGAGGTCGAAAATCCACCATCACAATGACCACGCCACACGCCACTAACCTAACTACATTAATTTTCTTTTCATTTGTGTTAATAAAAAGGTGTCTTAATTGTTGCATGGTTGGATTGTGATACCTGAGCCGGTTGTGTGTTCGTAGTGCGGTGTGTATTTATTGAACATTTTACCAGGTGCAGAATAGATTGTGATACACAATTTAATTACACATTTTGTGGTTAGTAATGTAAGAAGCAATCGCCCATGAATTGACCAATTAATGTTTTGCACACCCTTTAGGTCCATTTCGTATGTGGCTGGGTTCGTATATGTTTTGTTTTTGTTTATTTTTTTTAGAAGTCTCTAGAGACGCAATAAATTGTTTATAAGTATGTACATTTTTTTAATTTTTCTCACCAGTCCTATTTATTATTATTTTTATAACATGGTGCAGAAATAAGTTACTTAGATAAATTTGTTTTGTATTTTCTAAGGTTTTTGCAAATGCCTCTAATATGAAATATATCTGTATGCAAACTTTTAGTAGTACCCCAGTTTTAAAGTTTATTATATAAAGCTTTAATATGTGAAATCCTCTAAAGCCACTTTTTTAAAATTTGATAAGTTTATTTTTTAAAAAAAGAAATGGTAAAAAATCGTTAAAAAACCAAAGTTTTTGTGATATTTTTCCATAAAAACTAAATTAAATATTTGAGAAGTAGCTCTAGAGTAACACAGATTTAATTTATGCAACGTATTTACTTTAAGAGTGTGGTATACTATCAAAAGTTAAATAAATAGTTAAATAAATGACAATTGTTAATTTATTTGGGGTGGAGGGGGTTTGGTTGACATCTATAAACCTGTTTAATAACCACAATTAAAGTGGTTTAATAGGGAGTATTAGGCTGGTATATACCTATCATTATACGCTATTAATGTATTTGGTTTTTCTATTAAACTATATAATATCTGTTATTAAATTATTTACAAACTTTAAGCAAAGTTTTTGTTAGTTGCTTGTGATAGCAACACTGATCCAAGAACAAAAGTTTAATAGCTGCTATTAATCAGTTTATTTGTCTTATATAGTATTAAAAAATTTAATACCCAGTATTAACTGTTTAATACCCACTAGCAAAGTTTTTTCTCGGTGTAATCAAAACAGTAGTCAGTTTTAATAAGATTACTTGGAGAAAATAGTGATGTTTTGACTAATCAATTAAAGGGACTTTCAAGAATTGTCTGAAGACGAATTTATATACTGTGAAGTGTGGTTTTAGCAGCTCAAGTTACTAGAGTTTAAATTCGTCTTACCTTATCTAAATGAACGAAGAAAAGGTAAACCATTATAGTGCTAATATTATAAGTTTTAAAACTAGTATTTTATTGGTGACTTTCTCATATTCATCTTATCAATAGACAAGAGTATATTAATTTATTCATAGTAGGTACCTGTGTTGTACATTGATTGAATTGTTATTCTAGTTGTATGTTTGTTCAAATTGAGCTGTTTCAATTTGAAAAATTCACCTAAAAAAACAATGTTTAGTTGCGAATTCATTTTTACCTTTGTTTTGTTCTTTGCTTTGAGAAAAATAACAACGTACTTGTTTACTTCTTGTCCTAAATAATTATTCATTTCTATTAATGTTAATAATATTATTCCTAAGTTTTCTTTTGTTATTGTTTCAGTTATCAGACGAATTACTTTATAATTGACAGTGGAAAAAAAGGATACTTTGAAAATGTCGTTGAGAAAAAAATCTTAATTAGATATAACCATCAAGTTATCGTATTAAAGTGGTTTTTAGGTTTTTTATGTTTGATTGGTGAAATTAAGGGTTCAGATATATATGGGGAAAACTTTAGTATTTGAAGATACATTTTCCATTGTGTAGTGGTAACCCTTTGCTAAGAAGTTCTATCGACATAAAATTGGAGCTCCATCAGCATTTGAGTTTTGTAATATTAAAGTAAAATCAACAAGGGTGATTGAAGTTTGACTGTCACCTTTCTTTGAACCTCGGAAAGCTACTATTTGAACCCTTTACGAGAAAGGGTTCACCCAGAGGGTTGACTCCAAAGTTTAACTCCTCGTTTCACCCTCTATGTTTTCACCCCGGAGTCCAGCGTCACATCTCACTTGGGGTTTTTACCCAGAGTTTTCTCCCGGAGTTTTCACCCAGAGTTTTCACTCGAAGGGTTCATGATTTTGCAGTGAAAGTTCGCCCGTGGCTTCTCTCCGAGGACTTTAAACCTAAGTTTAATCGTGGGGACACAGTACACTGGTTTACCAGAACATTGGTCCATTTATTCGTGGTCCATTGGGTTATTAGCCACCTGACCTACTATTTCACTGGTTTTTACATGGACGTTACTTTACTTAAATAAAACTAAATGGTTATTTTTTATACACACTACCCAATTACAAATTAGTGCATCGATTTAAACAATTTTAAAATTAACTTTAATTAAAAATGATTTTTACAATGAAAAAAAATTTACACTTATTATTATCTTTCCTATTTTTAATAAGAAATAAATAAGTCAAAGCTATTTACAAAATTGTCTACATCGCCCACTTTTTTCAACACCTGTATTAAATTTAGTTATGCCCCAATCCAGAATGTTGACATCATGTGATATAATATACATCTTATTATATTAATCTGTATGTAGTGTTGATACGAAAACGTACATCTTTTCAAATATTTTATCACCATATTGTATAATCTGGATATAAGCATTTATCTGAATTTGATTTTTGACTACATTTTTCGAGACACCTTTAGCTTTCTTTGATTCTGTTGTCATCTAAAAGAACTTTCGTGGTTTAACGCAATATGCCTGCGCTACTGCTGTACAGTTAAAATGTCTCAACTTTTTACAATAATTATGGAAGAAATACTTTAATTTAATTTAAGAAATAGATGACCCCACCACATTAGTTATGTATTTATGGACAAAATGCATGAGCTATGAAACTACCTCTGACTGTGATACCAATTCCATTTATTTAAAATTACTATCACTATTTTTACATTTAGTCCTTCTATTTCATTGATTTCTAATCAGTTAATTTAATATATTGTATCCTTAATGTTTATTGTTTTCCATTTTCAGCTATTCTTTCATGTTTATTGTTTTCTTTATAACATTTATTTGATCATTAAATTTTTGTTTGGAATTATTTCGTATTTGTATAATACACGATATAATGAACTATATACTATCTTTGAATACAATCATTAAAAAAATTACTTTTTTAAATTGATTTAAGTTTATAAAATAAGTAATTGTGGAACAATGAAAAAGAGTAAGACAAAGTACTTTAAGGTTAGTAATTGGCACACAAATTGCGATAAAATCAAACGGTTAATAATGATTTTTCGGGGTTTGCAAAGTTTCCTATTTTTTTTTTATTCTGATTTAGTTATAAGACAATAGAAAAAAATGTGTATTTTTTTTCTATTCATGAAAAAGATACAACACTCGTTGCATAACTATTTTGTGTTTGCAGTAATATTAGTGAACTCATTGAATCAATAATTTAATATGTTACAGAACATTATGTGTAAATGAATGGGCGTTAAAATCACACTACGGTATTTTATATATTTGTTTATCGCTAGTTCATTTAATTTGTACAGTTACTAGGAAATTATAGCTATCATTCGATTTGAATTGATTGATTGTTAAAATATGATACCACATTGAAGTACGAAAAACCTTAATAAAGCCTTTTTAACATAGGAATTAGAGATATTTTTCAATTATTGTTCGCCACCACTGGTTCCATATATTTTGACCCATATTTGGAAATTGGTATGCAAAGATGCAAGCAGACGGAGTGAGTAATAGATATTAAGTGAAATGAAAATACAAGTGCAAAGGGAGTGATAACGTGAAAGGTCACACAAGAATAAAGTTTATGACTTAGCGGTAGATTTTTGCATGGAGGAATTTGAATAATTATATATGAAAGAACCAAACAATAAAAGTTTTTATTTTTAATTTTTGATATATCCAATTATGCCAAGGTTAAGATGTTTTAGAATCAAAATCTCACTAATTTTTCTCCTGGGTTAAAAAAGTACAAGAAATTATTATGGGTATCTAAACATTTATAAAATGAGGATCAGAAAGAGTCCGTAGGTGTTGGGATTGTTAGAGATATGTACCTCTGGTTAAAATATCATCAAAATTATTAGCAAGGATGTAACATGCTTATTAAAAACCCAGTTACAATTAGGCTGATACTATTTAAAAGAAATAAATACTCATGCCTGTTTACTTTTTAATCCCATTGCGCTTTCGAATAACTTTCGGTTTTCGAG